GTGAAAACCCCACCCTAATCGACTAAGCCGTTTAGCGCGCACAAACGTACAGCCAAACCGACAAACAGACAAAAATCTAAAAATTATTGGTTTGGGTTCTATTGCAGTAATAAAGACCCCCAATAATAGTTTCTTTCAAATTTCTTCCATGTACAGACAGCGATCAGTTACACTTTTATTATATGTACATGTGCGTTTTATTACAATAGTATTACAATAGTACATGTGCGTTAACAACAACAATACCTACAAAAGAATTAATACAAAAAATAAAGAAACTAAAAACTTATAATTCAGAGACTGATATCAAAATTTTTGTTTTGCATTTAATAAAGTGACATGAAATAACAAGTAACAAGATGTTATTGGATATATTAGTGTCAAGATTACTTATGCCTACATCGACTGCAGGGTCAGGAAAGTTCGTGGAAGCTCGTTTCGCAACAGTTACTGACATCCCACGTCCGCTCGACAATGATCGTCTTGATTCCATCCAATAGTTATGCATTTAATCAAAATTCCCACAGATTTAACGAGAAAAGCTATATACAAATTAGATAATACTCAAAAAAGTTATGGTCATGAGTTACTTTGGATAATAGCAATAATAAATTAAAAATTCTAAACGATTTTGAAGTATCGATCAGTAAACGACAGAAGAATGTTGAGCATAAATCTTCAATTGCGTGGAATATCTCCATTTATTTCCATACCAAATTGATGCAATGTGGCAGGAAATGGTGACGGCGATATCTGCTGGTATCTCATTGCATTCGTTAGACACAAGCCGCTTTAGCCACACATGAGACTTAAGTAAAGCTAGCTTTAAGATATCCCATATTTTTTATCTGTATTATTACACGAAATAAAATGTTTAAGCTATTTTTGTTATCTTTTATATGTACATATGCAGTAGCAACATCACTAATCTACATATATAAAAGTTAAATATAATATAGTATATTATTAACAATTTTCATTTTATATGGTATAGTCATTTTTTGAAACTTTTAAATAAACTAACGGTTTCAAGCAAAAAAACCTATTTTGTTTGCAAAACGTTTTTGTGAAATTATAAATAAGTATTTATTCCTTACGGACACACTCAGGTTGTTCCCCGAAGCGCTAGATGGAAGAGTGCGGTGGCTATAAATATTAATGACAAACACCGATTCAATGGTAGACCCGAGGAAAGGTCAGCGGCCTTTGATCCGATTGTTTGATGCTCATATCTCCATCGTAATTAGAAATGCCTAATATGCTTAAGACACGGTATGCGCATGAATAATATATGAGTTAGTGATCGTAAAATACATCTTCCGTGAGATAACTAGGAAAGTAATGCTCGTTTTTATACACACATAACTGAGACAGTATCGTTCTTTGACTGTTCTGTGACATGTTTCAAATTATTAAAAGAAGACAATAACATAACATTTTCATTTAATGTGGAAATTAATCCATCATCTGGTATGATAAAGGGAAGTTTTACGGCGATTTTTAAACTTTTTTAATAAGTTTTTTAAATCACTAGCAAGTAGCAACTCACCCTCGCTTCGCTCGGGTTCGTCCCTAGCTTGCATACTTTCATCCCCATTTTCACCCCATTCATACTTTCAACCCCATTTTCACCCCCTTACGTGATGATTTCCGGGATAAATAGTATCCTAAGTCCTTCCCAGGGTCTCAAACCATTTTCTTACCAAATTTCATCTAAACCGGTTCAGTATAACCAGAGATAACCCCGTACGACGTCACAATATCACAAACTTTACCTCTTTATAATATTACTATATATTATAATTCATAACAGAGTAATATGTTCTACCTTATTAAAATAAATATTACCAAGTTTTTGAATAATGTTGATTCCTAGTAACTATTTTGTAGTTATTTTTATTGTTTTTAATTATACTTAGTTTACATATTAGCATTCCCAATAATACTAAAACGGAATTAGAAATACTGGGTCAGTGTCCTTTACATTGACTTTAAGCGATCGTTCCCACATCAATATAGCAAATTAATGCTTATATATAGATTTAACAAGCGCATTTGGACACTTTCAATAGAAAACCGTTATGTTCTGTTGTTATCTGAATCTGAATATGAAGCTTATTGTAATGTGAAAAACATTTAGATTAACCTGAAACGAGGCTAAATGAAGCAATTAAACTTCAATAATAATTTCCTATTTGTATTTGCTTGTAGAAATTACAATGAAAATTTTGAATTGACTTCAAAATAACTAAATAATAAATATGTACATATACTTTCTTAGATTTACGCGAATATTTGACAAAGACTGAGGTGTTAGATGTCTCAAAGGTATTAGGTAGTAGTTGTTACAGGCAGCCTACCCACAAATAACAAAATGAATTCAAATTTTTTTAAAGTAAAGATAAACAAAATATCTATTTGAATGTGTTATATATAATCTAAATAAATATAAATAAATAATCATATACATAAATAGTGTTCCTCTACGGTTTTACTGGATACGACTAACGCACATAATCGAGAACGCAATGTCTTAATTACACGTTTATAGTTGTATGGCAAATGGCATGCACGTTGATATAATCTAATTATATAGAAACGTCTGTCTCCACTCTCCACGTACTAATATTCCAGTTAATATACTCAGTAAATTATTAACAAAACTGAACTTAGTGGAAAAGTCTTAAAGCAAAATAGTATCTCAACTACGTCAATATATGTATCAGTGTTAAATCTATATAAACTGAAATAACAACTATAGTCTGATTTTTAATTCGACGGAATTCTGACATTTCAGAAGTGTTGTCAACTTTGAAACATTGTCACTAATAACGGAAAGTATTTTAGCAAAATAAAAAAATAAACCTTTCTTTAATTTAAGGTTTTAATTCGAAAAACTAAGACTTAAAAAATTATTGATAACTCTAAAATGGTAATTATTTTTTTATTATCATATTATTGAAGTTACAATAATTATTAAGGAAATTATTTTTCTATTACAGGAATCCCTATCCAATAATCCATAGGTTGCAAGCCTTTTTTAGTAAAACCTCTTTGTAAAATATTTTGTTTTACTCTGTTTTATTCATTTAACCATTAAACATTTACATTATAATTAGCGTGCATTGATTGCATAAAATAAAAACTATTTACAATGTCATACATATAGTTTACTTGATCTAATTCTGTTTCATATTTTTTGTTATATTATATTAAAAAATACAAAGCAGAAAAGGTTTATGATATCTGAATTGTTAAAGAATGATAGCTGTCATATTTCCATGGAATTAAAAATCAGACTATAGCAATGAGCACAATAGCATTTGCCATAGCCAAAATATATAGAAGCTAAAACACCAATTAGAATATTACTAACAATTCAAATATGACCAACTTGAATATAAAACTTCATCTCTATCCTTTTGTGTCTTTTAAGTTTAATGGTATAGTTAGGCAGATTGTGGTTTGTGTGTCAGTAAATCACGGTAGGGATTTTGTTGATTAAATGTTAGATTAAATATATCAGGAAGGTAATGTTTTATGTTTTAATTAAATTAAAATTTCCGATGTCATATTTTGTACCTTTGATAGTTATCAGCGTTAGATTATTTAGCAATTACCACATAATCGTCAGTCAGCGTCATCAATATCGAAAAAAATATATGTTTAAACAACCTTATTAGAAGATAAGGCCTAATAAATAATAATAATAGTGTAAGATAAGAAGTAGTTACATGATGATGTCTAGAACTTGTGTCCAAATGTGTAATAAAATTTTGACAAGGACCATCTTTAGTCTTTCTTAGTTTGGTAAATACTAAGTTTACAATTCCGAATAATTGAAATGTATAGTTTTAAAATTATTAACGTTACTAAAATAATAAAGATCTATTGTTTTAGAGATCAAGTATATAAATTTTACCTCAATACTAATAAACATATAATAATATATATGTTTATTAGTATAGATATAAATAACAAAATATTTCCACTAAAAATCGCTATTGTATAAAATGTACACTGTATTGTTTATACTGTACACATTTGGGTTATGTAATGAGAATGACTTATGAAATACTTAAGTGGAGAGATGTTAATCTTGTATTTGTTTGGGTCCCCTTGATAACAGTGTTCAAAACGGACCAAACATGTTAAGTCATGATAAAACTTGCATGATATGGGTCCCTCAACGTCGATAACTAGAGCAGGAGAGGAATTCGGACAAAAAGGGCAAAACTAAATATAGAAAGGTTTAAGGACATACATAATATTTTGTCGGATCTTTTAAAATACCCCATTGGTAGAGAAGCTAAAATACTTTATGGTAATTAGGTACTAACGCCTCTTTGGGAATAATTGTATAAGGATATCAAGAATCCGCTAAATGCCTGTCTGAGTACATTCTCTTGGAAATCCCTCTATACAATAGAGTGTAAAGCACTGGCAACCCCTGTATTGGAATATAGCTATCTCGTTTCCTCACACCAAACCGTGTCCCACCCTCCTTTCATAACATCGTGGGATAATTAAATATTTATGTCATCGCAGATGGCAGAAAAATTGTAGCCATAAATAAAGGTTAATTAAGGCTTCGAACAGTAAATTTTAACTACGAAATTTAATCCTTAGTTAAACGATATTATTGTTATCAAATTACATATACATAAAAATGAAAGCAGGAAAGAAATGCATAACATTTAAAACAATGGACTGTAAGTATTATGATATAATTGACTGAGAACGATATAAAATGATAATTATTTTTTACAACGTACCTGTATGTATATCTTTGTTGATTCTAAATACTTAGAGACATCCCACCGATAAAAACACTGTCACGAACTTAGTTAAATTAACGATATTGACACAACTTAACCGTTAAACGTCGACGGTTCAACGACAGAGTACACTTGTTAATGTGCATGCACTGTATCACTGGCACTATTTAAGCGTAGCAATATGTTATAACGGAAAACAGAAAACACTTCATTATAAATTAGATGGGCAAAGCTCGAAGTCGGAAAGCTTTTTGCTTAACAAAAATAACAAGCAATCACACTGACGGTAGGATGGAGACTGCATCAGACGGGGGCAGCGAGGTGGAGGAGGGGAGCTCAGAAGGGGGCGCTCGCGTCGAGCACTCCTTTGGAGGCGTCGAACCAGCTTTGTATCACTCTGATATGATAACGAATGTTTACAAAGTCGATGATATCAAAACGCTAGTGAAAATAAGCACCCAAAATAGACAATAGGGATGCCTTTACGATTTTTGTAACTTTAAAATGTATAAAAAACATAATATTATAAAGATAGGTTTGGTTTGTATTCACTATGTAGGTATATGATTAAAGAAGAATTATAGAAGAAATTGATACATATACAAAAGTTGTAAATAGAATGTTATAAATTATAATTTTGTTTTGCATTTAACTTTTGTTTACTGATGTATCTATCGAAGCCATCAACAATGATAACAATGTGATGAAAAGAAATCAAAATCCGATAGGTACCTAATACCTATAGAGATTAACAAAATGTAATGTAAAAACCTCACATACGAGTGCTTAAGTATAAAGTTCCTACATAAATACTCTTTGTTCAATTCCAAATTACTTTTACCTTTTTAATGAATTAATTGAGCAAGTGTAATTATAAATTTTCCATATAGTTTGATAAAATATATAAAGTTCATATAATTTGTTGTTATATAAACATGTGTACTTGAAATAGAGGCTTTGAATGTAGGTTCTATTGTTTTTACAGAACGCAATTATCTATGTCTTTATTATTAATTAAGAGAATAATATAATTAAGTACATACAATTATACATACATACATTTTAAAATTTAAATAGATATAGCCTAATTTATAATAAATAAATATAATATACATATATTTGAATAAATTTTATGAGGAGATAAAATCAGTAAATAAAATAATAATCGTTGAAGGAATTAAGCTCGTTAAATGCGAACCAAAAACAAACATGTAATTTTCCCCACCGAATGTTGAAATGAAAACTTAATCACTTTTTCTGTAAGTCCACGTCGTGACTCGTGCCAAAATAAACAAAAACAAAAAGGGACTGTTTCGTTACGCCTTACGTAATTAAGAAGCATATGGTTCTCATTCCCTATAACTGGATGGTGTCAGATAGTTACGGGAGAATAATGGGTTTAAATTTAAACACTGTAAATGTTAGGCTTTAAAATATTTTATGTATTAATCAAAATATAAATATTATACGATATTAAATAGTGCATAATTTGTATTTCATTAATCCATACATATAATAAAACTGTAACTAAATCGAATCTGTACATTAAATATTTTTTGGAAAATCTAATTGAAATAGACATTATTATCGATACAGAGTCCGAATCTATAGTTTTTGGAATTTTTGTCTGTCTGTCTGTTACAACATCACGAGAAAACCACTGGACAGATTTTGATGAAATTTGGTATGATGATAGCTGGTTATCCGGTTCAACATATAGGATACTTTTTACCGCGGAAAAATATCTCATTTCTGAGAAAAAATACAAAAACTGCAATGTAAGAGTATACTAATATGTAAAGCCTAAGAATTTGGTTTTTGGTCATCTGAACGCGGGCGGAGCCGCGGGAAATGCTAGTTATTTTATAAGTTAAAGATTATTTGCTTTAACAAGGGCCTAAATTAATAAGTTATTCCATAAAATGTTGGATAGATTAAATTTATATTTATATAGAACTTTTTTATTTATTATTTTATTGGACATGTTTAAGTTAACTTTTTGTTATTAATAATGTACAATATAAAATTTTCATATTTAGATTATCGTCAATTAATATGCCTACCTGTCTTACTCTTGGATATACTCATATGTATCTATGACATCAAATAAATTACACACATTCATAAATTATCTAACTCAGCTATATACTATATACCAGTATATACTATATACCCACAGCTAAACCAAGATATAACTTCCTTCTTCTTTGAAGTAGTTAAACTCAATATTATTTTTTATAAAACTAGGTGCTTATTAGTCATGAGAAGGATAAAGCAACTTATTCAGTTTCATACAGACTACTCTGATGACGGCGGCATTGTCGCTGATTCATAAACTGGGTCGTAAAATCAAATCGTTTACTCAACTGGCGAATATGTTTTGCACTCTATAATGAAATAATAAATAATATTTAACTGTAACGAAAGTTATTTAGTATCAAATTAATAATGAGTTGTATGGCACAAACAATGAGGTATGTATGAAAAATGATATTTTCCGGTGGGCGAACTAAAAGCAGGCGGATGTAGCTCAGACAGGCCATTAGCAGGTTTTTACAAAATAAAAGTATATCATTATTGATTTATGTTACACAAAATCACATTATCGCGAAAATATCGTAAGTAAAATTAATTTGAATGATATCATAAAAACCAGGTTTGGCTTAATGAGGGTAATTAAAAACCACAACAGAAAAGCATATATCATACGGCAATATTGACTCACTCCCATCAGGAGCTAACTTGAGGCAACTGACGCAGATGGAATGGAAGAACCAAAACGGTAATAAATAACCGATACACAGAAGAATAGACTTAAAGCACATTTCCTTTTACATTTTAGTTTCCTAAAATTACAACTCCAGTATAGACGTGTGCAGACTCCATTCAATCAGTTAAGTATTGTTAAATAGTTCGTGAAATTGGTGGACTCAACAAGTGACAAATCGAACACACACTTTGTAAATGTTAAACGCCCGTGCATTGGTATAGTGGTAATAAAAATAATATGAGAGCCGTAACGCGTTCGAACACCACAAACGTGCCGATCTGCTACGTCTGAATTAGTTAATTGTATTTTCAGACGACGTTCAGTAAGCAAACGTTGAGATTTATTAGCAATCAGTGCGTGTGGTAATGTATAACATTGTACGTTCTTAAACAGATATTTCTTATTGTCTTTGACATGACATAGAATTTTGGCATTTTGTTAATTTATGTATAGGTAGTAAAAGTTATAGATCATCCTTGATAATGTTATCAAGGCTATATAAATTATTCTAATCTATTAACATTTTATCAAGTGTTTAAATATGATATAATTATTGTAATTCAAATGCCTAAAATATCATAAGAAGCAAAAATAACATGATATGTATTTAAATATGGGACACAGTCTAACTTATAAGTGCACTGAGAACGAAAATAGGTCGCTGTAAAAGCTACTCTCTTATGAGATAGAAATTATGCAGCATTTGAGGTTGATAACAATTCATAAGAAGCTATGATACCACAATATTTAAATATTTTTATAATGTATACAGCTCTTTTTAACGTTCCACTGCCATGCACGAGCCTTCCTTCAATATGAGGGGGATCTGTCCATCTCACTGGCCAAGTGCGGGTTGGCGAATTTCACACAGCTTTCGAATATTTGCTAGATACTCTCAGACATGCAGGTTTCCTCACAATGTTTTGCTTCACGAAAGACAAGTAAGTGGTAATCATGTTGAAAATGATTCGCACATGTAAATATCAATTACCACTGGGCTTCAACTGCCTTCTTATGAGAAATTAAAACCTATTACAAAAGCTTATAAAAATTTAATAGTGTAGATTAGGGCTTATCAACCTTTCTTCTGTTGAGCCTTTCCGTATTATAAAAATATTTTCATTTCCTTTATTTTCTTTATTACAATAAAACACATATTATTTTAACGATTTTTATTTTCATGCCCCCCGTTTTTATTATAATAAACGTCACATTATTTTAATTTTAAGTTATACAAAATTAACTTTCTCTACGACCGAACTCCTGGTGTAGATAATTATTGCTTCGTTCTATTACAAACCTCTTATGTATTGATTTATATTTACAATTTTTTAAAATATTATTATTTATTAAGTACTAAAGGAATGACAAGAAATTAGGGGTAGCTGTAAAAGTGTAATATACATACATACGTATGCACAAAGTAAAAACAGCACGTGCCCAATAAGGGTTTGATACAAAGGTCCACAGCAAGTATGCATTCTTAAGTTAGTGTTAGCAGATGTGGGCTGCATTTATATAACGGCATATTGCAACTGACGGCGTAACATTTACATTTACCATATGTTATCCTTAAATTTTAAGTAAATATAAGGCCTCATTACTTATGTTTCAGAACTTGGCTTCTTGTAGATTTTAAAAGGGTGATCAAATTATGAAACCGATCCCTACATACAGTATCGAATAATGCTGAGTATGAAAAAATGACTGCAACGAATTCGTATAAATTCAATGTTTTACATAACTATTATATTATTTTGCACATTATCACCTCCATGTAAATTTCTAAGAAATTAATTAATTTCTAAGAAATCTATTGTTGTATCTATTGTGTTTGTAACGCCGGCGTGTCCGCGGTCGTTGTAGGATTAAAATACAAGATCTTCCCTTTCGACGACTATGCTAAAAGGTTAAGAATTAGCGGGGAGTTCTATTTTCAATAGGTAAATATTTAATAGTACACATGCCATATGGGATAGTAATTGCTGTATGCAGCGACAAAATAAAGGAACAAGTGAACTTACATTAATATCGTTATAATGACAATATTATTCATTCACCTTTCATTCGTGAAACAATAAAAATAAACAAACAGTACGATCATATTTTGTGACAGTGTTTTAATGCATCGTTAGGTAATGATTCTGAACAAGTCGAAAGAATTTTTGATGTCTAAAATTTCAATTACTATAAATATACTACCGACCTTGAACATTTTTAGTTTTGTATGTATTTTTAATGCCAAATCATAAAAGAATTAAAATTAAAGATTTTGTCCAAAGAATTAAAAAAAAATTTTTGGGGTGGACCACCCTTGTCGCTTAGGGGTATAAAAAATAATTTACGTCCTATTCTCAGACCTACTGAATATACACACAATATTTCATATAAACCGGTCAATCCGTTTCGGAGGAGTTTTGTTACAAACACTGTGAGACGAGAATTTTATATATTAGAGAGATAATAAAGAGAAATCTCGTACAATTTATTTTCTGTGTAAGTATAACTCATAGAGAAATTAATATTAAATACTAAATCATAAGTCGTATAGTGCGAGTGTACTGTAAATATTATTGCAGTAGCCATAGCGATGATAGTAGGCTACAGACGTGATCGATATCTTCCGTCTCTCAAATTACCAAGTAATTTCAGTCAGTAATTACTCAATTTACTCAAGACTAGGTGATGCTATCAAAGAAAC